TTATTAAAAGCAGAAGTGCCCGGCGTTGTCCGTGGATTTTTAAATATTTCCATAATTTTTTTAGCCTATGTTAATCCCAAAGTACTCATGGGTTCCCTAAAAAAATGTCAGACAAAATGTCCAGCCGGATGGCCAGCTACTGCGAATATATATAAAAAATATAAAGATATGTCGTCGTAATTTCAAATAACCTTCCATTAAAAGAGGGCATGTTCAAGAGGGTTTGTCGTCTTTGGAATCAAGCTTAGAGTCCAATAGGCGCCTAAATATTTGTATATCTTTGCAATAAAAATTAATCAAAATTTAAGAAAATGGAGAGCGGATAGCCATTTAAGAAACACCAATCAAACATCAGGTTTTTCGGAATTAACAAATAGTATAGAAAATCTGATCATTGTATGTTTGTACATGGAGAACTTAATTTAACATGTGCATCCAAGAAAAATAAATGCAAAAGCCAAAAATTGGGTTGATTTGTAGGTTATATAGCTTTATGCGCGCATAAAGAAATATTTGCAAAAAGCACATTTCAGCTTCTCCCATGATCAGCGTTAGTGCTAGTACTTTCAAAATGTTTGTAAATTATCTTGGAAATTGCCATTTCGATCAGCATATATCTTTAAGGCTTTTCAAATGAGAAGCAAAGAAAAAAATGTTTTTTCCTATTATTAGACATTTACCACAAGTATAGATGGGATGATTTTGTAGAAACTAGTAGACACCCAGTAGGAACATTTAATCAAATCTAAATCTGATCATGGGAGAATCTGAAATGTGCCTTTTGCATATATTTAGCTATGTAACAATAAACAATATTCGCGTTTTTGTACAATTTGATAAATGAAAAAGACCTAATATTTTAGTAGTGGAAAAATATTGATAAATATTGATGGGACCGAAAACTAAATATTTTCAAATATATCGAAATGGGTAATAAATTTTTTTAAATAAATTTTAAAACCTGAAAAACTTCTTAAAAGGACAAAGTTTTAAGGGAAATATTGTGAATCGGACATGCCACTCTGTATTTAGTTATTCTGTAGAAATTGTGTCTACAGTGCCTTTAAATGAATCTGACTGTTCAAGGTTGCATGATGGTTTAGATCTATGATATAAGCTTCTAACTTTTTAAGACAGCCTTAGACAACTTTTTTACTTCAATATAGTCTCACGTCTGTCCTAGCATTCTTTTCATTGGAAAAATCAGGAAAAACAGCCTAATTTATTAGAAAATTTGTCGAAAATGGCGGTTTTTAGAATTTTCTATAATTAGGTTCTAGGTTTCTTTGTTTGTAACTATTATACATGGTTTTTAAGCTTTTATTTTGTATTAATAATATTTTGTATAATCCCATAATCTAATTTCCAACATAGACTAAGCAGCTATTCTACCCCGCCCCCCCTCTTCTCTTGTTTCCCCCTCAGTCGTTCTTGTACGTCTCCCCTTCTTGGATACCCCCACCCCTTAGCCTGTATTATCTGTTTGTTACTCAATTCGATGTTTTCCTGTCTCTTCTCCTCCTGTTAATTTATCATATGCATGAAAGATACAAGTTTTGTATTATTATTTATTCATCGTACTTTCTTTAGCGTTTACACAGCTTTACGTTTTTTTCCGTTTCTATTATCATACTAGATCGGGAACCCAGCTTTGTCAGGATTATTCCCTGTAAATGTCAACTCACTCAACTTAGAATTTTATAACCAAGCTAAGAACATTCCCGCGTGGTTCTCCCAATCATAATTTGAGGCGAATCGGTGAAGGAGTTCATGAGTTATGATCGGACATAGAAACAGACAAAGAGAAATTTATATTTTTTTTAAATAAATGCGTCCCAATATCACCGTCCAGTCGGCGTCCATCCCACATCATGCTACCACTAGCTATCACTTAAGATCATTGAATGTACGTATATAAACTATGTTATAAATTGTCTAAATTATGAATAAAGGGAAAGAAAATATAGTTGTATACTAATTCTAAACATATTTTTACACACGTGAATGAGAAGAAACATATCGACATTTAGTTTATGTTGTTACATTCACCAAAAAGCAATTAATAAATAATTACATTTTTTATGAAATTACGAAATAAATTCCAAATAACTGACACTTTGGGCGAAATTACACACATTTTGTTAGAAATTACTAAATTTCTTTTGGAAATAACTAACATTTAGATAGAAATTACTAACATTTGTCCGAAAATACGAATTACAAATAGTTTAGAGATGTATCTAACATTGTGTTCACAATTCCGAACAAAATGTTATCTGTAGCTTATATAAAGAGGTTTTTTTAAGAAAAACTTATTAGATGATTTGACCTTGAATTTCTTTTTACTCCGTCATTGGTACTTTGTAAAAATGTGAAATTGCCTTCCATATTCTTTGAGGAAAAAGGCAAAAATGCGCAAAATTATTTTTTTATTTAGAAATTGGATAAATAACAAATGATAAAGTTTTAACTAGAACGAACTTGAGTTTAAATATTCTGCAATATTGCATTAATTTCAAAACAGGAAACTAATTCCATTTGGAAAACAGACAAGCAGTAATCATGTGAAATCCTAAAATTAATCCCCAGCTCCCCAGTCCTCATTTTATAATCCCCAGCTCCCCAGTCCTCATTTTATAATCCCCAGCTCCCCAGTCCTCATTTTATAATCCCCAGCTCCCCAGTCCTCATTTTATAATCATCATCACTTCTCCCATCTTTTCAATCCTAAAGGAATACTGTCATAGCCACAAACTCTGATTTTCTAATTCCTATATCTTTGCATCACAATGTCGTAGACCTTATATATTTCAAAATATGAATATTGCTCGATCAAATAATTTAAGCTTGAAGTACCAAAGGTTTACACCATTAGGTTGCCAAAGATATAGGCATTAGACAATTTGGGTAGTAACAAAGGTTGTTTTAACTTCACAATCGCTTTCCAGCGAGGTCCAACTTTATGGTGTTTGTAATAAAAACTCAATCCAAAGGTCGCAACTCTTGTTGGACACAGCGCTAAACTAGATATCGGCATTGGAAACATTTAATTTGAAGCAAAGAAGTGCTTAATTCTTTGAGAGCGGCTGTTTTTTTTCATATCTAGTTGGTTCAGAGCAGATCGTAACTTTAGTTTAGTTTATGATATTTTTTAATTAATTTGTTTTGAATTTGATTATTTCTCTTGTCGCTTGCGCAACTTTCTAAGAATGCCGCGCACCTCTCACATTTTTCGAAATCCGTTAAAACGTTTTCAAAAAAATAAAATATTATAAGATATAAACTATATACAAATGTGGCGAAAGATAATCGATGATTATAGGTTGTAATATCTGAATGATTTGTTTGAAATTAAATTGATTTTTTACGGTCTAAGTCGTATATGTTGCAATTTTCTCAATTTGAATGGGCGCTAAGTTATTCGGTATGAGACGTCTTTAACAATTTTCTCCTTATAGACGCAACAGATAGAAGTAAGATTAGTAGGGATCAAAAGCGCTTTTTTATCGCATTAAGTCTATACCCCATTTCATTTTTCGCGAACACTCCCTTCAAGTTTATTAGTCATAAAAAAAGTTGCTAGTGAGTGTTTTCCAAAGAAATTAATGGTTCCGACATAATGACATTGTCTGTATATAAGGAAAACATTCGACTACAATATTATACAATACTGGAAAACATTCGACTGAATTCTAGAAATTGTTTTATTAAACATCAGGAGGAAATGCAATCTAAAATCAGAAAGTATATTTGAAACTTAAAAATAAACGCTACTTCTCGTTTCCACGGGTTGATTTTTCTTTATTAAGATGTTTTACAAGAATCTTTTATGAATTATACTAAAATCAATAAAATGTCAACAATAAAATCAATAAGTAAGAAAATAAATATTTTGTTATGGAAGTAGAAATTATTTTTGAATAAGGTTTATATATATTCTTCATGTTTTCAAGACTGGTAACTTCAAACTTGATACAGGATATTAGGAATACCAAACTCTACAGGGTGTCCCGAAAAACATGCATACTTAAAGACGACTTTAATTTATATTTCGTTTGATCCACGAGGCATTTGTGTAAACAAATTAACTTACATAATAGTAAGGAAACTCTTAGTCTTGGGAATATAGAAATAAAGTCTGCTCATATTTTGTTGCTTAATTTACAAAGATTTTAAGAAAATGGTTCAGTGGTCAATTTATCAATTACAATTTTAATTGTCCAAATATCTCCGTCAGTAGATTCATACAACACCACATTTTTAAAATCTCTTATGCTGCCCGAACATTTTTTAATCCACGCTTAAACGCAAAATTCAAAAAATTAAGAGATGAAAAAAATCACGATCTAAAATAAAGAAGAGATATAAATAAGGGATGGAAAAGAAAAAAAAAACAAAAGGAGAAAATGAATATATAAGATGCGGCTAAAATAGCAAACTTGAAACAGAATTGAGTTGTTAAAATAAGATCAAGAAATAGGAGTAGCAATATATGAAAACAAATGATATATTGAATCAACAGAGAAGAATTATATTAAATAAATGAGAAAATAAAAACGGTAAACGAGTTGATGATTTATATTGGGTTGGTTTCCATGTATATTTTCAGATTGAATGAAAAAAAAGTAATACATCAAATATTTTGGGAGTGTGAATTAATATTCTTTAAAAGGGTAAATTAGATTAATTAATTAATGAAACTTTTTAATTTGTTCTTAAACAGAATTTACTTCTTATACTTATTTTTACTGGGCGCGTTAAAAAGAAAAGTGATTCAGTAAAATCTCTAACGTTTGTCATAACTATTTGGTATCTTTCAGAATCAATATAAAAGACACTTTTTAAATAATAGTTCCTTTTGCTCGTGTTTTACCAATAAACAAAAAATTTTCTCCGTTCGTTAACGGAAGCTTCTGGTAACTTGCAAACACTTCCGTAAAATTGTCAGACTCGATTTCAGATACTCCAATGAGCCAAAAACACAACAATTAAGAACTGACCTATTTCACTCTATATCGCTGATTTTCAAGCTACCGGTCAAGCTATTTGCTTTATAACAGCATCAACACACATATATAAAGCTGATATGTGGTTTTTCCGGTCCACTGTTTTATGATGAATACTTTATAATTTTAGTTAAATACAAGATTTAACAGAAATATATCAGAGAAAAAGGATTGTTACACTCTGTATGCTGATAATTGAAACGTTGTATTGGGTTGATAAAGAAATCACAGTTTTGGTTGAGTTCGGAGTTTGGAATTTGGATAAGGTTCAAATTAGTTGGCGGAGGAAACGGAGAATACACGTACACCGGTCTCCTCGGAGCTAAGTTTCCAGTAACCGTGGTTCAACTGATACAATACTTCGAGGTTTCATGGATCCATCCCATCCATCCCATCCATCCCATCCATCCCATCCATCCCATCCATCCCATNAGAAATAGTATGGCGGTATCATCTACCTTTCTATCTATCTCATTATCCAATTAGAGTTATGAATCCTTCAATCGGCGATGTCAGTAAATGGAAATATTTACTTCTACTGAAACTAAAGTGATACATGAGGCGGTTTATTATCCACCCCACTGTTCGTCCGACCTATAGCTATATACCAAAGAGCTAATAAGCTGCCATGCTTACAGGCCGGACTACTTGCAATCTTAGCTTACAGTTTAGTTTCATTAGAAGTACATATTTCCAATAGCTGTTTAGCGCTGATTTAAAGATTCATCTCTAATTGGATGATGAGATAGATATGCTTTGTGTGTATGGCAAATTTCTGCAAAATGTAATATTTCATTATCATTTAAATAAATTCAAAATAGAATTGTTAAAGTTTTAAAGATATTAAGTAATAAAAAATGCCATTTCCCCCTTCAAACTATTTTGCTTGAAAAAAATAAAGTCTGATTTCCGTAAAAGATTGATACAAAGGATTTGGGTTTAATTTCCGTAAATGAGGGATACAAAGGATTTGCGTTTCATTTCCGTAAATGAGGAATACAAAGGATTTGGGTTTCATTTCCGTAAATGAGGGATACAAAGGATTTGCGTTTCATTTCCGTAAATGATTAATACAAAGGATTTGCGTTTAATTTCTGTAAATGATTGATACAAAGGATTTGCGTGTAATTTCCGTAAATGAGGGATACAAAGGATTTGCGTTTAATTTTCGTAAATGATTGATGCAAAGGATTTGAGTTTAATTTCCATAAATGATTGATTCAAAGGATTTGCGTTTAATTTCTGTAAATGATTGATACAAAGGATTTGCGTTTAATTTCCGTAAATGAGGGATACAAAGGATTTGCGTTTAATTTTCGTAAATGATTGATTCAAAGGATTTGAGTTTTTGCAACAAACTCTGTTTTCCTATTTCCAAAATCTTTGCAACCCAATTGCAACCCAACTTTAGAAGTTATTGTGTTAAGTTCCAATTAATATCTATGCATTAAATTATAAATCATTAAATTCGACTTCAGTTTAACCAAGAACTTCGGAGAAATCGAAAGAATTAATATACTATTGTATCTAAATCTCAGTAATTTTAAAATAAAAAATAAATAGTCATAAAATTTACGGAACAGTTCAAAGAGATCCATATAATTATTCAAATAAAAAATATATAGTTGCAACATTCCAATATGGGTAGGTTAAGACGACATTTTACAAAAAATTTTAATGTATCCGAAGTTATGGGTTAAACTGTATAAATTTAGAAAAAAATTGGGGATTTTAAAAACATTCTTTTTTATTTCCAATAATGCTTGAAAATTAAAATTTGAAAGAATTTTCAATTAAATGATTAAATGACAAAATTATGATTGAATTATGATTAAATTAGAAAGGTTAAAGATAGATTTTTGGAAATTTAGAAAATATTGAAAAATGGAATTTAATTATATTTTTAATTCAGTGTTTAAATTAAGGTGACCTTTACAAAATATCTTAAACTCTAACCTTTCTCTGATTTTAAAATAATATTCTTAAAAGTTTCTAAAATTACTAAATTGAAAAGCTACTTAATCTGAGAAAATAGAAGTTGGATTCTCTCTTTTAAAGGGACTGTAAACATATATTGAAAGAGTGGCTTTTCTGATTCACAAAAGTACCATTAAAAGTTTTGCCTGATTAAGATTAAATTATATATCCATGTTTTTATTTTTGAAAATTTTCTTGTTTTTATTTAGAGTTTTACAAAAACAATGACTTGCTTAATTCTTGCTTTAGAAAAAATTTTGAAACTATCAGAATTAAGTCCTGTTAAGCCAGAGAAACGACAATAGCTTCAACACTTTAAAATTCGGTGATGGTGATGGACCAAACCTCTGTAGAGTAAAAAAGTAGATGTTTGTTCCACATTTATTGAAAATATATTTCGGTCTGGGTTGACCCTCGTCAGTTCTAACGATATAATAACCATCAAATCGATAAAAAAAAATTTAAAAAATTGTAAAAATCACAAGAAAATAAACAAACAAAAAAGATTATTCAAAATAAAAATTTGGGCTGTCAAATGGACATAAGGGAAACGAACTCAGATTATCAGATGGAAAAAAATAATTTGTAAATATTCACTTTTAAAAAAAATGTATTAAGACAATTATTATTCCTTGAGATTGGTTCTGTCACACTTTTTAACAGACAAAGGTCTGAAGGGTTCCGTTGTGAATCGAGAATGCCTCTCTTTAAAAAGAGGGTCACATAAATTATGACGTGCTCAGGATGTTTGTAGCAAGGCTGGTGAAGGGAACCCCGGGGTATTACGTAAATTTGTTATCTTCCGATAAAGTAGTTAAACACAATTTTATCTTCTTTTGAAATAAAAATGCAAGAATTTTGTCACGACAACTTCACAGAGCGGGTGGTTATTTTACTTTATTATCCTTTTGTTGGGGCAATTACAGGTTGGTAACGTTAGTAAATTACAGGGTGGTAACGTTAGTAAATTACAGGTTGGTAACGTTAGTAAATTTTCAGCAGTGATTCTAAAAAAAATTACTTCTTTCTTTTATTTGAAACTAATTTTAAAAAACTTTATAAATAAAATTGATTTTTTTTGCCTATGTTACCCCTAGGGTACCCATGCATGGTTTCACTTAAAAAATATCTTTCATTAAAAATGGAGAGATAAATCTGTTTAATATATTAAAAATGGAGAGATAAATCTGTTTAATATATTAAAAATGGAGAGATAAATCTGTTTAATATATTAAAAATGGAGAGATAAATCTGTTTAATCTATATATAAATTTGGCTTGTCTGTTTGTTTGTTTGTTTGTTTGTTTGTATCCAATAAACGTCAAAACGGCTGAACCGATCGGGCCCAAATTTTTTGTGGGACATCTAGGGACTCCAGGGAAGGTTTATGAATCATCAAAATTTCAAATATTTGTCTNGATGGACTAATAAACAAAAAATGCGTTGGAAAAATGTTGGGCTATCTGATTTTTGTCCGAATCATCAACCGACCCTATTCTATGCGTTCCGAAAAATGTTTTTGGAAAATTCTTTCAAATTAATTTAATTTAAGAAATACGTTTGTTCTTAAATTTTCTTATTTATATTTTCAATTAAAAGTTTCAAATTACTTTTTATTTTTAAAGTTTTTATCTTCTAATAAATAAATAGCTTAAAGGGACTGTAAGCGTAATTTCAAGTAACTCTCTATGCAAATATGGGGAATGTCTGATTTACAAAACATACCCTTTAAACCTTCTGCTAATCATCGAATGTCTCTAAATCCCGAATATTCTTTATCCAACGATATTTAAAAAAATATAATGAAATAATTTATTTTCTTCAAATTCTGGAAATTAAGTAAATATTATTTTTTTTATCTAAACCAGCTTAGTTTAACAATCAACAATTACATTCGTTTCTTTAGAAAACTAAGGATAATTCCATCAGTATTGATTGCTGATTATACAGGGTACTGTTGTGAATCGAACACGTCACACACTAAACTAAGCTAGTGGGATAGGTTTAATAGACCTATGATAGACCGGGTACTGTAAAAATTCTGGCCGTGCCATGACACCCAGCGTAGGATAGGGTCAGGCCGGTACTTGTCGTACGTCACTACGGTCGATAAAAGGGGTCGGTCCGCGCGGTTCGGATTCGAATTGACCCTAGTCCACTGTGGTCACTCTAGAAATGTAGGGTCACTTTACATTTACGTCTACAGTCCCTTTAAATGTCATACATTTTGTCCATCAACATTTTATGATTTACTTTTTTTAAATAATAAAATGAAATATGACCAGTTAAGCTGGGTTAAAAAAGTTATATTTCTAAAATAAAATAAGAAAATTTCTTTGTCTTAAAAAAGATTGAATCCTAGGTGATTTTTGTATTTTAAAACTTCTAATATTTTTTGTTTTTGACGTCTTTTAAACTTAAAAAACGTTAATTTGAGGCTGTTAAATTTTTTTACTTTTCTAACTTACAATTTAAACAAAAGCTATTTTTTACTTTTTGCCTGTAATTCCTGGTAAAACACGTTGCTACTCTAGATTTGATTTTCTGCAAAATTTATAGATTTTTCGAGTAGATAATTTTGTTAGGTTAACCCTGTTCACAAGAATAATGAGAAATTGAGGAAGCCACAGATTTGGCCGCCATGCCACAGATTTAGCCGCCGTGCCACTGATTTGGCTGCCGTGCCACAGATTTGGCCGCCGTGCCACAGGTTTGGCATCCGTGCCACGGATTTGGCTGCCGTGTCACAGATTTGGCCACCGTACCGCAGGTTTGGCCGCTGCGCCTTAGATTTGGCACAGATTTGAATACTAGGCGAAGGATTTGGCTGGTGCCTCAGATTTGGCAGGGTCGCAAAACGCTAAGGAGATAAACTGAAAATATGGCTGCTTTGCCAATGTATTATTTCTGTGTTGCAAGTAATCAGAATGCTTCAAGGGCAGTGGCATTAATCATGCATTCGGGGTGCTTAGGGCAGGCAATCAAATTCTTTTCATATTTTTTCCAATTTCCAATCAATCAAGACACTACGGAGATATTCGGAAAATATGAGCTAGACAGATAGTGTTCTAAAAAATGTTTGAAATGAGAGTATCTAAATAATTTCTTCCGCCCTCCAAACTTAAAAAGAAAAAAATGAATATGATGAAATAAATGTATTTAGATTAAAAATAATAAATTAAAAACATTATTTAAAGATCTTTAATGAAAGGAAGTATGATTGAAAACGTAAAAGATTTCATCGTCTTACCTAGAATATACCGTTTTATCATATTATTATTTATTAGTTTAGTTCAGATATTATTTTAATGAATATTCAATAAATTTAATTATTCTGTTAACAAAAC